GGTAATAGGATTATGCTTTTTCAAGTTTCCTCGTGGTATTTCATTTGTCATAAGGTCAGTCTGTTTCAGAACAGCATTTTGATTTAAAGAGACTGGCCACCAAAACGTGAAAATTTTGGGAAGAGGCGAACAGTGAACGATGATTGAGGAAAAGACGGCTAGTGAAGCGCATACAATCAATGAATTTATTAAATTAAAACGAGAATTTCTGCCATCTTGTGGTTGTTATCAAGTTTTTCAAAACCGCTTCAGCCAGTTTTAGAAGGTGATCGAAGGCGATCACATCAACAACTGCATCAAGATTAATTTTTCACGTGTTTTTCTTTTCTGAAGTGCTTTGTTTGTATCATCAAATTTTTAACTATTATTATTTTGTATACATTTAGCTTGTTTGGAATAACTGCAATATTTTTTGGTTATGAAGGGCATCATGCTGAATGAGGGTGTAATTTGTTCTCATAACTTCATTATTCGTTGCTTGTAAATAATTGCTTGCTCCTTTTATCTCGTGTTTTAATTATTGTAAAAATTGGAATTTTGTATTCATATCATGGTAGAAATTTTTCATTGATTTGCTAGCACTTTATTTTTCGACTCTAGAATAAAAATAATATAAAACTTCTGGTAATGTTTATTGATCTATTTTTCATTAAATACCAACAAATGTACAAAGTGATTATTAACATGCCTCTTGCTGCACTTCTTTGTATTGTAGTATTCTTTGGCATGCAAGACTACCTCTATATATATTATGTATCCGACTGACTGGTGATAAGCTTGGTACTATCGCTGATGATAGTCGTTCAAAAATATCTAGTTTTTCACCAACTGCATTGCCGTTGTACTCCTGACTAAACGAGATTGGCATGATTGAATGTAAAATTGTATTATTCGTTTTAGACTACTTATGTATAGTGAATAATGGTACATGTAGTTTTGTATCCATTTTCTCGATAAAAGAATTAAAAAAGTTGTTCTTTGCAGTTCAAGAAAAATTGTATTGTCAACTTTTGTGTTCTCGTTATAAAAAACGGTACATGAATCTCTTATAATGTTTTTCGACGATCATTGCAATACACATTCGTTTCACTTGGTAGTATGCCTGTTGTCGATGAGCTAATAACAAAATTTTGACGACCTGATCCAGGTTGTCCAGATTCTAAATGTATAATAAGCTTATCCAAATTTTTATTTTCACTTAGGTGGATATGAAATTAAAATCTGGTTTTGTTAAAGGAACTGATCTTTGATTTTTTACATTGAAAAGTTGAAATATTAGCACGCGTCCTATATCGTCGTCAAATTGCGTTATTCGTATTTGAAATTGTTTAGCGCATTTCAACATCTGTGGTATTAAGTCATGATTCACGATATCCGATGATTCAAATGCTCCGAAAATCATGTATGACAATGTCTTAAAAAGTTTGCTTAAAAGAATACATATTTAAAGAAGCAAAGGATTAATAATTATTTCTTGCAAAAGTATTGTCGTACTTGTAAATTGTAAGAGCCAGTAATCACTCCTTATAATTGTATCTTAAGTTTATTAGACTAAAATTAAAATCACAAAAGTAACGCACTGTAAACAAGAATTTTTCATATAATATAACATATTTCATGCTTTAATTTAATAAGTTTTAATATAATTCACACTTTAGTAAATTTAAATACACTTTAAATTTGTGCTTGAAGCAAGAAATGAAATCAACTTTGATTTTTGTTCAAATTTTAGCAAGCAAAAGTGAGAAAAGACCTGTGAAACTGCTTCACGATTATAATTAAGTGTAATTTGATTCAATTCAATATCATCAGAGCTTAATAAGTCGCGAAAATACGGCGAAGAAATGTACAATAAATTTTTGTATGAATGAATCTCACCATCCAAAGTTTTGAATGTAAAGTCTCTTAACAGTAATAAAATGAGCATTGAACTGTTGCCTTTTTACAAATTGACACTCAGTTTAAAGTAATACGTCTTAAAATTCAGATCAAAATTAAAGCTAAAACGAAAATTCTCTGATATACTTACTGATTTTTTTTTGTTCAAAATGTTGATTTCAAACAAAAATTAACAAATCAAATTATGATCAAAAAATTTTATTTTATTTTTTCTTCAAATATTAGTGTCAAACTTTTGATTGTGCTGTTAAAGAATTAATATATTTTGCAAGACTATATGATTGTACTTTTAAACTGATATGTTAGTTTTTGTATTAAAGAAGTCAAATTTACGGTTCAATATTTTGATAAGTATCTTTGAGAGTCCTTCGAAAATCGCCAGCTTTTAATAATGAATAAACTGGAATAACTCTATCTAATTGTATTTGGAAATTGTTTGCAGAAAAACGCATTTCAATAGTTAAATACGCCCGTCCACCTTGCCAATGTGAATTAATACTGAATGCTTAAATAATTATTTTCTAAATTATAATTCAAAAATTAAGTAAATCTTACTTGCTGTATGATAAAATGCATCAATTTAAACTAAAAATCATGAATATGAATAATATAAAATAATAACCTTCAGCTAATGTTACAAGCAATGGATTTTGTTCAAAAAGACGATAATTACCAGTAGAGAAAAATGTTGAATTATATACATCTGGTTTTGTGATAATTTGAGGTGCTGTAAGTATTTTTACTTTCAGAAAAGAAATAAAAAATTGTTTTTTTATATAATCAACTAATTGCAATTACAATAAAATAAATATACGTCAAGTGAAAAAGTAAAAAATTTCTAAATTGGTTTTGCCCATTAAAGAACCACAATTTTTAAAAGGATTACATAAATCTTTTTTAAGTTAAGGTTGTTCAAAAAATTATATCCGTACAACTTTCTTCTCCTTTAGTTAGCTGAAGTTTGAAAATAATTGCTAATGGCGTTGGTTGTGTGAATACTTTGCAGTGATCCAAAAATAACTTCCAAACAGTTTTCATTTCAGGCCATTGGGGAGACCCAATAAAATTAATTGTCCTAAAAGTCTCTCAGTTTTAAAGAAAATCTCTTAATTTATTTTAATTATCATATAAATCTTTAATTCTAGAAACTTTCAAAAAAATTTTTGTTTAGGCTTAATGTGTAATCAATTTTTCGATTCGTACTAAACTAATTTTATAATTTATTAAATTATTGTTCATGTTAATACCATTCATAAGCAAAAGCTTCATACGTCGTGTAAAAATGCGTTTGTTGGAAAAATGAAGCACCTGTAAGCAATCATAAGATATTAGCTAATACTTTATAGCTAATGATAATTAATGGAATGATTATTGTTTATCATACAGCGAGGAAGTGCTGCTGTATCATGATTATACTAGAAGACGCAACGAAGTGCCGCCGTGTATTCATTTGAGACCCTATAGGAAGTATGATCTGAAGGCACTCCTGCACATGCGAAGCCATTCGGTTCAGGAGGTCATCGCGAATGAGAATGTAGAAATCAGAGTTGATACGCGGAGTGAGAACAGTTATAAAGATAAGTGTGGATCGACCGGATATCATGATCCACGATAAAAAGAGACATAAAACAATCCTGATAAAGGGTTGCATTCCTAGTCAGGACAGGTTGACAGCAGTCGAGATCGAGGAACAACGTAAATATGACCTACTGGCTAATAGACTTGGGTCAGAGATGAAATGCAGGACCAAAATAATTCCGTATATGATGATTTGGGATGGCATTGCAACAAACTTTCATAAACGTTACGCAAGGGCAATCAGTGTATCTGATCACGTCGAGGCATATACCCAAAACGATGGTGCTCAAGAAAACGCTCATCTTTCACCGTTGTGGATTTATTGAGCATGAAGTGCAGAAATAATTAGCATGACAAATCTGAGCAAGAGTAAAGTACCAGAATATGACTTAATTTCAGAATGAATAGAGCATAAAAGATTAACCCTATATGATATTTGTCAATTTTTATATATAGGTAATGATTAACAAAATTTCAAACCAATAGGTCGAACAATCGGTATGACCCAATGGAAGAGATATATTAGGCCCGAAAGTGTTCGATCAGCAACTTGCTTACAGTTTTTACTTGAAATATAATGCACTGTTTCACGACGAAGTCTTATGTGACCGCTCATCTTCACGTTAAAAAAACAAATATATGAAATTGTGGGTGTTCGAAATACAAAATACTAGTTTCTCGCCTAAAATCTAATTTAAATATCTTCTCATTTATATACTTTCAGTTTTTAAATAGATGTTAAACCATGTTTCGAAGTCAATACTGTATTTAAACCACTTCTTTTTTAATATTACCAATATTGAGTCAAACATTTTTTTATTCTGAATTTGAATTCAGATGTAATGCTTAAACTTTGAGTGCTTGCTTTCAATTTTTAATGAAAACTTCTGCAAAATTCAAAGCATCATTTTCCAACACTTATCAAACTGAACATACATTGAATAATATTTCAAAAATATCTTGTCTACAATTTTTTCAGTTATACGTAATTATTGATGAAGAAAACGTTACTTTCATAGAAACTCATTAGTGCTTTGAAAGCTTATTCAAATAATAACAACATGAAAAAAGTAGAGAGCTTGATTAATCGTTATAAAAGCTTCTAAACACAAGGAATTGAAAGCTAAAGCGTAAAAATTTTGCATACTACAAAAAACTCTTTTTGAATAGAAAAATAAATCTTCAGGATAATATAAGTAAAATAAAATTGCGATTTAAAGAATTTGCGGTGGAATATAAATCAAATTATGCTAATTTTGAATCGCCTGAAACTAATAGTGAATAAGAAAATATGAGTAAACACAGGTTACTGACATTATTAGTAGGAGTAATGCTAACAATATTTACACAGCTTAACAAAAAGCAATAATTGAAAACTTTGCATTCTTTGCATTTGACTAGCGTATGAATTAGTTATTTGTAAATACAACAATATAAATCAGAAATACAACAAAATAATCATATTCTATTTTATTGTTAGAAGTTGCTTGAGTATTTTCATAAGAAATGTCTAAAACGAAAATCATCGTAATCAAATGAAGATCGGTATTGAGATTGCGCGGGATAAACTCGAAACTGAAAAAAATTTTTTTCAATTATTACAAGCAAAGAGAATTTAAATTTTCAAATTAAATACTAATAACTAACTAAAAATTGTGACTTCAATCCAAAAGTAAAAAGTTATAAAATTTAAACTCGAAAAAATGGAAGAAATTACTACTTGTTGAAGACGGTCTCTAATTGTATGCGAGTGATGTTCTGGGAGATCATTTAAATGCTAAAATATTTTTGTGATTTTATAGAATTTGGAAAAATTAACTCATATATTTTTATATTTTGTCTTCAATAAAAAACAAATAAACTACGATAGATATAATTTATAAAAATTAGCTAAAATAATCCATTACTGTCTTTTTGAAAAAAATTTGAAATCAGAAATTACTTTTTAAGTTACAAAAAACGAAATGAATAAAAATGGTAAAAAAAGCTTACAATTTGTATTTGATGAGAGTCATATTCAAGTAATTTTGCATAAAATATATCCATAAGATGAGAGGAGAAGAAAGCATTTAATGCTTCAATTATAATTTCTAGTAAAGTTTCAATTTGCAACTTAATTTTTTTTAAAGAAAATTGCTCTTCAACGTATTGCTCGAGTTTTCGACGTAAGTTTGGTATTTGCATCAAATTAGAAAAATGAATTAGCACGGACAAATTGTGAGCTATAAAAAATAGAAAGATTAAAAATTTTTCAATCAGATCCTTGCATAAATCCTTCATTTACTTATAATCTAAATTTTCTACTATACTTTTTTAGACATGTTTAAATGGAATAGAATAGTTTTCATACTTACAAAATAAATTATAATATTTTGTACCTTAACTTCTTGAAACAAATAAAAATAATGTGTTATTTCATTCAAAACAAATAAATACGCTTTATAAAAAGCATGTAATAAATATTTTCATTGATTTGATAAGAAGTAATGATAAAAACTAGCCATTAATTTCTTGTTCAATGATATAATCTTCGTTCGGACAAATAACACGAAATAATTCAATCACTTCATCGTATTTCTCATTTTTAATTTCAGCTCGACCATTTTTTGCTTCACTTCAATTTTTCACTTTGTGAACACGGGAAAAAGTTTTACAGTTAATTGATAATATAATAAAAATTAAATTATAAAATATTCTCGCAAAGTAGTCTAAAACATTTTTCGTAAAATTAAAACTATGAGTTTAATATTAGCTAAAAGTGAAACATTTTATTTTTCAAACTCGTTTTTTGCTTTAAAATTTTTCAATAATATAAAGTAAATGCTTTATTTTATTTTCTGTTTTCAAAAACTTTTTTTTGCAAAAAAAATTTTTATTTGTTATGATTGTTTCTTTTCAATTATAGAACAAACGAAGGTTTATGCAACTGTAAGTACAATGAATTATGCAAATTTTCTTGCTTAAAACACTGTACAAATTACTGTACAAATTGTTCTTGTAAATATTTAAACTGCGATTTAACTTTTATACAATGATGAAAATTCACCTAAAAAATTCTTCAAAACAAATTTTTTTAAAATAGGGCGATAATGCCGCGAGGTAATGCGCATTCACAAAAATACTCTTGTCTTCTACCACAAATTCAAACTGCCTCAGTGAAGTTGCTTGAGATAGCCAATTGTTTTCACTACTTTCATTCGAAACTTTCATATTTTCAAAATGCAAATCCTCAAATAATATTATCAGTTTTTCTCAAATAGAATCAATATAATATCAATCATCAATTACAGTATAAGCAAGCTAAGCCAATTATTTCTCGTAAAAACTAGTGTTAGATTCATTTTCACCATATGAAGTAACTGAAACACATAACAGTTTATTAGAATATTATTCATTTATTTTTGACAATGTTGAAAGGTTTAGCTAAAAACAAATCAAAATAAAGAATGCATCCCCAAAAACAACCATTCAAATGAGTCATTTTAATTTTTCATACACAATTATATTACAATATTGAGAAATATATTCATTTACATAATTACAGTAACATTTTTACTTCAGAGAAATTACTTGAATATTTCAAAAAATAATGTATACAAAATAAACACGAAGAAATCAAGCTTTTAAATTAAACAATGCTTATATATAATTTAAAAAGTGCCTTTTCAACCTCACGAATCTTTTACACGATTCTGTAGACGAGATATTCGCATAATAATTTGATTTCTCGTCAGTTACACTTCAGGTTAAATTATTGAGCAAAAATGCAAAAATTGCCTATCAAATTAATTGGTTCTATATTAATAATTCTACAATGAATTAAAATAAAGTAACCTAATATTTGACATAAAATATTTGCATAACTTAAAAAATATAATAATTCAGAGTTAAAGATCAATCATAATGATTCACACTTTCATTCTTCCTCACACCATCACGATAACATAGTAGATCAAGAGTACTTATTCAAATTTTTCATATATATAGAATTTCTAATTGAGTATATATATACAAAACATTCACCATGTGTATAGGAATACAATAATTACTTATTTTACTCACGTGGCTTCGACGAAAACTTGTAAAATTTGATGCTGTTTTTTTCATAGTTATGATCAATTTCTGCAGAGCGAAAACAGTTATAAATTTTTGTTAGGTGAAAATATTTGCAAAAATTTTTAATTATTGACTTTTGAAAATGAAAAATGAAGCAAAATGAATTACAGTGTTTTTTTACAGCTTTTGTGGGTGGATTTTAAAGCTGTGATAACAAACTTTATGATAAGTATAAGTATATTCTCACAGTACTATTGCAAGAACATAATTATGATAAATTATAATGAACAGGAGTTTGATTAATATAATAAATAGGTAGTTTCACTGATGAAATAGATTAATAGCTTAAATTGAAAAAAATTAATTGAAAGAACAACTAATAAAAATAAGTCACAAGATAAGCAAATAGTTTAAAATTGTATCAATTGCTACTAATTACTGTTTTATATTTAGTCATTAATTAATTACGTAAGCAAATAAGTGAACTGAATTTCAATGACATAAATTAGTTAAGCTTCTGTTGGAATTGACTACATTGCTCTAAAAAATAAAATAAATATAATTTTTTCATCTTCTTATTAATCTTTATTAAAGGCATTCATATTCATCAGAGTTATTAAAAGGAATATGTTTGTTTTAAAAAAAATTTTCATCAATAACAAAGCAAGTAATATAAAAATATGATCAAATAAAGTGATTGATGATAAACCCAAAATTATATATAATATTTTTTGAATTTTTATATCCGTAAATAAGTCGGCAGATTCAATTAGCGTTTAATTAGTAAAATTAAGTAAATCACAAGTAATATAAATAAATAAATACGTGAAAAACGCGTAAAAGGTGAAAAGAGCGTGTTAAGTTGATTCTAGAGATAGTTATAAGAGCAAAGCATAAAGGCAATTTTGCACTTCGTGATAAAAAACATATGAAACAATGCATTTCATACCCAACAAATTTATTATTTTGCAAAATTCATGTGGAAACGATCAATTTCACGTGATCATTTGTTTGTTTAACGATTTGTTACAAATCATTTCCATACAGAAGTAAATGTGATCATTCAGGTATTGATTTGTTTCGATTGATTGGAACGTTAGTGATAGACGCTGAGCAACTTTCGCACTCATTTCTTTCAGAAAAAAGACTTGCACAAAAATTGAAAATGACAGTTGATTGCATCGACAAGTGAACAACATTTGTGATATTGCGCTGCGTTGCCGTTTATTGAGTTATTTGATAATTTTCCTTTGTATTTAATGCATTTACAGCAGAAAAGAAGTTGCAAATTTCACGTTTGTAAAATTAATTCATCTTGCGTATTTTACGTAAATATACATTTTGGTGTATTTTTGTGTATTGCAAGTATTCATTTTTTTGATTAAAATAATTCTTAACATTCGAATTATTAATTCAGAATGAATGATAAATGATAATAATAATGACAAAGATTCATTTAACTAATCGAAGTTTCATGATTAAATCATTATAAGAATTAGCGAGTTTGTAGCTAATTTTAATTTTTCGACTTTTTTTGACATTAAATTTAACACAATAAATTACGTTTTGAGTAAAATATTAAGTGCTTTTTCTGTACACTTTTTGCTAAGAGAAATAATGTAAAGAATAATTTTTGAGTTTTCAAACATTTTCAATTATTCGAATTTTTGAAGTATTCCATAAATCTGATGTAGAAAATGTAATTTATTTTTAATATTAATTCGATTTAAAACTTTCTTTTTAAAAATTTAAAAAATGAAATATAATAAATTGTTCAATTTATGACTGACATTTCGGGATGGGTAATGCTATATATGGTAAGGTAGTCTGCTTCGATTCCATAGAAAAATGTAAGTTTAAAAGTTTGATCCCAAATTTTTAGTTTGTTTTGTTTTGTTTTTGTTCCTTTTTTTAGATAAACTTTCGTTTAGAATAGTTTGATAAGCAATCGTATTAATATTTATTTAATAATATTTTCATCTAGAAATTTAGTTGTTAACAAACGATTAGTTTGAATACGTGATAGAAATTCATAAAGTTACAAATAGTGTATTAAAAAATAACTGACTTAATTAAACGATTTGGTTTTCAAAAATTTTCCAAATTTTTTTTCTCTTTTAAAATTTAGCGGAAATGTATTTAAAATTATTATTCAGATAATGCATTGATTTTGTTTTGCAATCAATCAATCGATCAATTCTCAATTATTTTAATCAAAAAAAGTAATCATACTAAAATGGAATTGAAAATATTTAAAAATTTTGATTACAATTTGAGGTCAGCAAAGCTGCAATGCATGGCAATGTATAAAATTGGATCAGTGCACTAATAACACAGCCGAGGGCTACGTTTGTTTACCTTTTGATAGTCGACTATTAACGTAAGTTTTTGTAAGAGTAGTTTCATGGTGTTTACTTTCAACTTGAGAAGTTTGAAGTCTGAGGGAATAACAAATATAATTTGTCAATTACATTTATTTAATTAATACATTTAAAATTTCACACAGGAAATTTATATCTATTAAACAACAAGTAAAAATAGAATCTCTGATATTGGATTTCAGAATTTACGAAAATTGGCACATTCAAGTGGCCATTTAAAATAAGAGATTTATATTGAGAATCCATGTAATTCAAATTAGTCTACTGCAAAAAAAATTAGTTGAAGTTAGACAAACAACATATATAAACATGATGATATTATCTTTTTTCTGAAAATAAAATTGGACTGTTATTAAGAATTAAAATTTCATGTACAAATTTTTTTTCTGTTTGCAGGTTGATTATGATTGGATCATTCTTAACGGTTCTAATATGCTGTTCATCGATAGTTGCATGCTATATATGCAAATTACTGCGTGATGGAATACGTCAACCAATTTGTACAACTTCTGAAATAGTTTTCAATAGTCACACACCATTACGGACTTACAGAAATTCTTAATTAAGTATTTGTATTTTACTTCTTGATTTTATCTTTAAGCAAATAAAAATTATCACTTAATTTCATGCTGTAAGGCAATACAATGAAAGTAAAACTACTTTCAATTACTGAAAAGATTCAAATACTATCACTAATAATTATTATGATATTAATAATATCAAATGACAATAAGGGTAATAGTTCCACTTTCATGAAATAATAAAATAATCATAATAATAAGTTATAATAAATGACAGCAATAATAGTGATATTTCTGTTGTGAAATTCAGTTTATGAACATTCGTGACCGAATTTGCTGAACAATAAGTTGAAATTTGATTAAAAATTAAGTTAATTGCTATTCATCCATACCAGAATATGAATGCGAATGGTAACCGTAGAAAAATTTTCGAACAAAAGTATGTGACCAAAATTGAAATTTTTATTAATTTTTATGCCGATAAATCCCGAGTAAGAAATGTAAGTATTTGAAATGCACATGGCTGTGTCCAAGTGTTATCATTGTAATCAGAGTTTAGTACGCTAATGCAATGTACAAAAGGTAAAAAGAAGAATGCTTCATGTAGAAAGTGTCAAAAAGATTAGCAGTTTCATGAATTACAATCTTTCTCCGTTTTTAGGATGGAAAAAATTGTTCAAGTCTTTCTATAAAGTCCTTAGGCTCGTTTTTTGCTAGCACCTTTACAGTTGTGTAAATGAAAAGAATAAACTTTAAGCATGCCAAACTTTTTTTGACTAAAATATGCTGTTTTTTTTTGTCTGACAAAAATAGTGAAACTGTAGAAATTAGTTTAAAACTGATATAATGCACATAAATTGTACTTACTTTCTATATTAAACAAAAATTGTAGCCATGGAAAGATTATTATAATTCACAGTGTCAAATGTCACTTCTTCAACAAATTTATCATTAAAATGTATTATACAGTACAATAATTTAAAAATCATATAATAAATTCGATCAAAATAATACGCTTTATTTTATCAAAAAATTAAAAAAGCGATAAAAATTTGAGTTTGTACTATTTTTAGAAGTGTTCTTTTCTAAATAATAATAAAATTTGAACATGAAGAAAAGTACTAAAAAACAAAATCTGACAATGAAAAGAATAAACATGATTAATATTTATTAGTGAATATGCAAATGAGCCTGAGCTTAAAAGACATTCTTAAGTGCCGAAGGATTACACTGTTTAGTCATTGTACCACCACAATCACTTACACAACAACTTTCAGATCGAGTTTTTGCTATAAGTTTACGTTTGTTGACAGGTGGTCCTGAAAAAATAACCATATTTAATTTTAAGTTATTAAAAATTTTGGAGTATTAAATTACACTGCACTAACTAGGGATATTTGGATCCAAATTATTGATAACCAAATCAACAATTCAATTTATCTCAATTTAAATTGCTTAATTCATATATGAGTGTAATAATTATATGTAAGATACTAATTATATTATTATACATATAGTCCCTTTATATGTATGATAGTAATTATAATGTCACTACTTTAATTTGCCTCAAGAAAATAAAAAATAAAAATTACTCAAAAATACAATTTAAAACAAAAAAATATTAAAACTTACCCATAAAACTAAGTAAAACTGGTAAAAATATGAGACCGTGAGCTGCGCCAATGAGCACAATACCCAAAAACATACGAAAGTAAAATATTTTGAAAATTTGGGAATGCGCAAATGCAAGTACTAATATTCCACCAAATTTTGTCAGTGTTATACCAGAAAGCACCTATAAATAAGTACATTTTGTTTAGTAACTAAAAGCCAAAAATTGAAATTTATATAAAAATTTGGAAATTAGCAATAAAGCTAAACTAAAAAAAATGTGGCAAACCGATGATCCCATAGTAGCTAATGAATGTCGTGCACGCATTGTACGATCTCTATGAACACTAAGGGCGAATGATCGAACAATATGTGAACAAAATTCTACTGATATTCCAACAGCCTATATTAATCATAGTAATAATTATTGATAATATCAGTACCATTAAAAAATAATAAGTAATTTGAAAAAGATAAATTTAAAAGATAATTTTATACTCTTGAAAAAAAGTATAAATTCTTTTTAAAAAAATGGAAACTTGCCATAACTAAATTGACCACCGAAATAGCATTAAAATCAATACTCCACCAATACATAAGACCAATTAAGTTGAACAAAACACAACTTATAGTAAGGTCAATGATGAAAGCTGACCATGGGTCAAGTCCAAGGAGTACAGTTGTCACTCCAAATATGACTACTAATGAAAGTATTAATTGAATGCATGCATCCATTACTATCGTTGTATACTGCTCGTAAAAAACGTAAAATTTGCTGGAAAAATCACATAAAATATTCAAAAAACAAAATCTACTCAAAAAAAAACTCAAAAATGTTATAGCTTTTATTGGAAAATATATGGATCAAAAAAGTAAATAACGATTTAAAAAAATTACCATTTCCTTAAAATAGTAATGTTAAGATGAATGTAATTTGGTGATAATGTAATTTTCTGTGAAATTATATGCTAATTTTTATAATAACCAATATAAATTTTATAAATATTACATCCTTTTGTACGTAATCAAATACAAAAATTACGTGAACGCTCTCGCTCTTATAACGCTTAGTGATTAAAAACAAATGCTATGCTAATGATATTTAACTAAAAATATTGCCATAACTTGTACCTAGCAGTTCACATTGTAGAAACAAAAAATATATAATATACATAATAACTTACTGTAATCGCTGAACTATCTGCTCAAGCGCTTAACTTGATAATGAATCTGTCATGTAAACAATAATCACTCATAATTTTATCAATTAAATTATACAGCTAGCATATAATAATGTGTGTATCAATTACTGATTTCTTTGAAAGATTTCAAATTTTCACTAATTTCTATAAAGAAAATTACCTGTATGGAAATACTTCTATTTGACATCGCTCACTACGTTCACTGTTTAGCATAAATGTGATATTATCTGCGATTTGACGTGCGCTTGCCATTGCATTAATAAAATCAGATGAAGTTTTCAAAACCGTATGATATGTCATAAAATGCGATGACATTACACGTCCACTTCTGGATAATTTCACTGCAGAACTATATGCTGCACGACCACTGCAAAAAAATACAAGAATACTTAAATATACAAAATAATTAAACTTTGTTTTCATGCGTGAAAAAGACGTTCAAAACTTTGAAAAAAAGAACTGCATTGGTAAAAATATACTAATATCACATTAATTTCGTGGTTTTTAGAGCCATCTGAAATATTAATTCCAGACAAAAGAGAATTCAATTTTTTTCAAGTACAAAAGTCAATAAACTATAATTTTTTGTTTTGGCATGTGATTTTATTCTTATGTTGTTGCATAAATAGGTGAGAGGCTGAAAGATATAATACACTTTATTTTTTAGTTTGATCATAAAAACACCGTTTAAAAAATATCTATCAAATATTACCCCTTGACACACTTGCTACTTGGATTATTAGAAAAATAATGCGGAAGATAAGTGTAAAATAAATCAGAACGTGGTCGATAATCTTGAAATTCCACATTGCAAGAAACACAATTTGGCGAATTTTCTATAATTTTAATCATTCAAAAATTATAAATGTGCAGAATTACTGCAATTTTTTGCAGTTAATAAAGATAATTTTCTCTACCAGTTTTCCATATCACTGACTGCAAAAATAGAAAAGTATTTGCTTTTAATTATTCGGAAAATTTGTGTAATAATGGAACTTACAGAAGTCTACAAATTATTTAAAAGTTTTTATCTAATAATATAAACTATTATTTAAAAATCATTAATTGTACTATTTACTTATTCGCTTGTTTACTTACTTAATTGCTTATTTTTTGTATGCTTATATTTATACATTGAAAAATCATTTTGTAAAGATATAAATAATAAAAGTAATTACCAGTAGCTGGGCAAAACGTCTGATTTGTAAATAAACGACAACAAGGTGGATCACCCAATGGTTGTAACCAATCCAGATAATCATCAAGCCAACTGATCGCTGGATATGCTATATGTGATCTAAACTTATTAAATATATTCGGTTTAAAAACCAGTTATCAAAAATTATTATTATTGGTTGAATGATTTAGCCAAAATATTTTTAAAAATTACTAAAAATAAGTATTTACCAAATATTTAGCAAAATTTAGTATTAATCAAATTTATACTAAGTTTAGATAAAATTATTAACAAACATCTAATAAATAAAGTTTTGGCGCAAACAATTAAAACGAAATTATTACTTACCTATTTGACCATCGAGAGGCATGCGCAATTTGCGCACCTAAAGAATCTGAAGCACAACCAGCACCAGAACATATTTTATTTATTTCATATGGATCATTAATCTGCATATCACCTTTGACAACAAAATATACTGGTGGTCCTACTGATAAAAATCGGTCCATTGATTTAAAATGAAAATAAACATATGAATCCTATAAAAAATACACCACAATTAATTTTTTACAAAACGAGTGACTCATTTTTGCATGACTTTGATTGATTAATTTCAAAAATTCGATATGGCATAAACATACTTGTTTTGAAAGCTTCAAAAGAATCAATAACACATATTTTACAACTACAATAGTTAAAGGTGTTACATTTATTGCTTATATTGTTTAAATAAATTTTGCAGGATCGATCTGCATTTTAGACTCAGCACTATGTATTTGGATATAACAAAATTAAAATATGGCTAGAACTTTGCCTATAATTCAGATAACAATAATTAACAAAAAAATACGGTTAGCATTATTATTACTGTTAAATATTTTAATATATAACTGACACACATAATTTAAAAAGCTAATCATTTCAAATTAAATAGCACTGCTTATTAGCAAAGCACAAAGTCTTTTCATTCCAGTCTCAAAATATAATTATTTTAGCCATTTAAAGCTGATAAATATTATGCCAAGAAATATATATATATTTCTTCGAAAGCATCTCATTCGATCAGCGCCGTGAATTCAAAAAGGAGAGAGCAGCGGAGATCAGAATGAGACTTGGCACGAGGCGAGTGCAGCGAGAATGCCAGAATACGATCCAGCACAAAATCAGTAATGCAGAAAAGAAGAATAATCTCCGTGTGATTTTGATATTATTATATATATAAGCACGATACTGTAAGCTCCAAGAAAGAAATATGTTTGGAGGTGAGAAAGGTATGTGCCAACATTGTAGGCAACGCGTGAAGACGGTGGACCATCTAGCAACGCAGTGTGAAGAAATCTTACATCACGACTATACCAGAAAACATAATGAGGTCCTACGATGCATCCACTTGGGACTCTGCAAGAAGTATGGTCTGAAAGCATTCCCGCACTTGCGAAGCCATTCTGTTCAAGAGTCGTCGAGACTGAGAACGTGGAGATCACACGAGTAAGAACTGCAGTTTGGGTGGATCGACCGGACATCTTGGATGTACGATGACCGATATGATAGAGGTTGTTATCACTGGTCAGGACAAGTTTACAAGCAATCAAGACCGAGAAAAATGAAAATATGACCTACTTGCCAATAAGTTTGGATCAGAGATGAAATGCAGGACCAAAATTATTCGTATGTGATGTGATGACTTGGGATGGGATTTTAACGAACTTCTATAAATGCTATGCGAAGGAGATTAGCATATCAGACACGTAGAGGCATAAATCCAATCGACAGTTCTCAAGAAGACGCTATAAAGCATCTCCTTCAGTGACCGCAATGGATTTAACGAGGACGAAGCGAGAATGATGAGTACAATAAATCTGGGCGCGGGAAAAGTACTGCCAGAGTGCCAGAATGCGATCCACCGCCAGAACCATAAAGCAAAAAAGAGGACTAACCTCTACATCTTTCTTTCTTTCTATATCTATCTATATAACATGTGCAGCAGATCAGAGGTTAATCTTCTTTGTTGTCCTCTTGATTCTCGCGTTGGGTCGTGTTCCGGCACTCTTTCTGTACTCGACCAGAAATCCGTACTGCTGGTTCCGGTGCACCGATCAAGTGCTTCCTCACAACCTTAGGGGAGCTTTGTGTAACAACCTCACCTGTTTTCCATTTGTTTTCATTTATGATTCCAGGCTTGGCTTTTTTCCGTCTATCCTCCATTTCTGGCTTTCGTGCTTTATGATGTGATCGAAAAGCTGGCAGCTCAACCGCTCGGCAACTAGGCAGAGCCGAGCAATTATATATAGTATAGATACGAATAGTTCTGATCAATAAATATGTAAAATATATTCAATATTTGTGATATAAATAATTTTAATTTACTAAAGTACCTCAGGAACAGCCATTTTTTGATCTAATCCAAGTGGAATATTACTTAAGACAGCAAAAGAGCTGCTAAGCCATCCAACAAATAAAAATACCTGCAAAAACATTTATTATTTTTTTGACCTCAAAATTTTCCAGAAATCTATGGAATTTGTTAAATTTGGTCTCAAATTAATTTTCATCTTATGCTAAAATTATCTTTTTTGTTCATTATAAGCGGCATACAAGAGGTAATTAGCGCATTTTAGAATATTAACTTCAATCCTAAAATATGTAAAAAGTTATTTTTCTAAAGCACAAAAATTATTAAAAACAATGAAATAACGAAAATTGCCGAAATAATGCACCAAAAATTGAAAATGAATTTTGTTACAAATATTATTTCAAATACAGTTGCAATAATACAATTATTTTCTTATTTATGCTATAAATAAATATGCTATAAAATTCAAAAATAAATGAAAAATTTTTCAATAAATTCATTAGAGTTATGATTCTCACCACAATTATTCGAACATATTTTGATAAAATAAATGGTGCATAATAATTACTGAATAAATATAAAATATAACCATCGCTATTAACATTCTCTGTAGTTGTTATCTGACGACAGCAACAAACTTCAAGTCGTCCATTCTAAATAATTAAGTCAAAATGAAAAATTTTTATTTTTTAAATTAAGTTAAATTTAAAACTTAAATTCAAAATTTCAAAGTGACTTCCAAATTAAAATGCTAAATTTCAGTTTTTATATTTAGATATCAAATTAGACAAAAGGGATTGAAACAATGAATTATTTTATTCATTAAATACAAAATAGCAAACAATTCGTTAGTAGTAATATATTGTTAGTGAACTATTTTTAAAAATTTTTAAATATAAAAAATTAACTTTTGGAATTAAAATAACAAAAAACTATGAAATAAAAAGGCATAAGTATTAATAAGCAGTAGAATAAAAACAATATCATAATTACAAATTTACCTCTTCTCGTTTAACATCGAAAATGAATATAGCCAGAAAACACGTAATTTGTAAAAAGAAATTGAAAAATATTGCTAAAGCGGCGTACAACGAAAATACCTAAATTTCATTGTAATTACAAATGATGTCGACTACAATTTACATATTTGATGAAAAATTTGAATAAATTTTATTATTTGCATGTAAATAATTTTATTTACCAAATACAATTCTGATTTAATTAAACGAATAAAAGTTTTTATATTTCAGTGGCAGTTTTTTTCAAGAATCCTTCTTTTTGATTTTCTCAAACTAAATTTCTACACTAAGACAAAATTTTCGGTCATTCAAACATCAATTGTATTACTGAAGCAATGCTAATATCACTTCACCGCCAATAATTTAAAATTCAAATACGTGTAGGGCAATTTAATTTTTATAATTAATACTTACGTGTATATTTATAATTATTTCGAACTTAATTAATTGTCTATCAATAAAACTTTAATATGCTGCTAAAATTACTGCAGCGACAATAAGTCTAAGTACCAATAAGCTCTGCTTTTCACTAATCAGTGAAATACTTTTGACAAACTCACTGCAGAAATATTAAACACGTAAACTTAAGTATTAGCTATAGCTTTATATTCAACGATAGCTGAGTTCAATATTTGCAGTAATAAATAACAATATATTAATTTAGCAAATTTCGGTTAAATAAACAACGGAAATTTATAAATTGCATAAAGCTGATATAAGAATTTCGAATTAATGCTGCTTTTATTTAAATTTATAATTGTTACTATAATTGAAAGAAAGAATTTTTTACACGTAACTTCAAGAATTTTTTACACGTAAATTTTAGCACCTTGACAGCAGGCATAGATGATAACGCTCCAACAAAAAGACACAAGCATTCAGATAACGATGATAAAAGCATTGCTGGTATCACTTCACCACTGATACGAGATATTCTCAGATGTAAGGGTTCTGACAAAGGTTCTTCTGCTCTCTAAAACTTTCTTATAAGTTTATTTAATAAATAATTTTTTCTTTTTTTAAAATATGTTAAATTTTGCAGCAAACTTTTGCTCATCCGAAATTTTTTTGCATTTTTATGCACTAAGCGATTGCAAATTATAATAATGTAACTGAACCTATTATATGCTAAGAATAAATCGAACTTTAAATGCTATAATTTCAAGTATATGCAAAAAACAATGCAAAATTTTAACTTATAAATTTGCCAAAGAAAAAACCTTCAGTAAAAATTAATTTTGTGAAATTAGTATATATTAAATTATGAACTTGATAAAAGTATCTAAATACCTGATAAGCTTGGATAAAAATAAAAATATTATCCACTCCAACCGCTAAAACCAAAAATGGCTGTACTTCGAGAACAATCATCGTCGCGGGGATTCCATAAAATGCATATAAACCAATAGATGATGTAACTGATAATGCTACAATTGCTACACCTGCCACACCTAGCATTATCTTCGAATGAATTAACAGCGTTGCTAAATTATTCCCAGTAACCTATAAGTTGAAGTAATCACTCTTCAAAAGTATTACTTTAATATTTTTCAATTTTATTTTGGTCCAAATACTAAATAAATTTGCATAATTGCCTGAATCAATCAGCTATGAGATCCCTTGAAATGTTGACAAATTTTTAGAATTAAAGCATACGTTAGAAAATATTTTTGCTTATTCGTTCAAATTTTCACATTTTGCTTTTTTTTGTGAAATTTTGATTTTTTTATTGGGAAAAATTTGTTCAGTCAGTCATTTAAAATCTGCAAAATTTTTTCACTTATTTGAGGATTTTTTTTTTGACAGTTAAGCAAAAAATATTCTCGAAACTTATAATATTTTAATGCAATTTACTTTTTTTTCAGTTAAAAATCTCATAATTTTTTTCAAACACACTTTTATAATTCAAATAAAATTAAAAATAATAAAATAATACTTAAGCAATTCATCACAAAACTTAAAATTAAATCAAGTGAAAATGTATTTGATAAAATAATTACTGACTATTTAATTAAATATCAGTTAACTCGCAATTAAATATCAGTTAACCGTGATTTCAAAAATAAGAAATAATTGTCTTTAGGACAAACTATCATGGAATTCAAAAAATAAAAAACAATTTTAATGATTCAAAATTCATAAAATTCATGGATTCCTCAGACAAAAACGTTTATGATAGCTAAATTTTTTGCAAAATATTAAAATAATTAATAACTTTACCTGATATTGTCCTAAAGCAAATGCAACATAAGCAAACATGAATACATAACTTATTAATACAGTAAATATGTCCGACTGACTTTCTCGTTCTATTTCATCCTGAAAAAACGATAATAATTTTAAAAATTTTTTATATTTAACAACTATAAACATTGAATGGTAGCAACAGTACTTCCTCTAGTAAGTAGTGCATTGAAATTTATTATAATTTATACAGTAATTACAATTATTTAAAAAGCTAAAAAACAGTAAGGAAGGAAGAGTTCACCTGAATTGAACGTTCACTCATGAACGATATTGTATAATTTTGGTGCGAAATGTTTCGAAGATAACGGACAAATCTTAAATTAATATGAACAAAGGATTAAAGTTTAATTTCCAATAATTTAATAAGAATGATATTCTCTACTAAGAAATTACAAAACTTAACTTCTACAAAAAATAACAAAAAGTGCCAATTCACTTGATTCAAAATATCAAGAATATTGCATAAAGAAAAAATACAAACTTATAAAAAAGTGTATTAAGTACTAACGCTTTCTCCCAAGCAGCAGCATATCTGTTATCAGTTGATGTGACATGATTATTGAGAAGAATTGTGATTACTATACCTCGCGCACTATCCCACTGATTAGTACTATTAAAATCACCAAGTATGACATATGGTTGAATCGGTACACCAAAAGCTGATAAACAAGAAATACCAAGATCTGTTACAGTTTTATACGGATTTCTGCAAAATAAACATTCGCATGCTTTCATATATTATTTAATAATAATTTGAATCAACCATAATCATTTACTGCTAAAAATACTACAAATTATACTTACAAATATCATGTCAAATCGTAATTCCATGATGAATTTTAAAAATGAAATAATTAAAAAATTTTCAATCACAAATCAAATTTTCGTTTAAAATTTTAAGAAAAAAAGTACTCTTACTAATTAAATATAATCATCTAAAGAATTGATCAAATAAACATCATACAATTATTTTGTATTAATTCAAAAATTTTTGAATAATAAAATTTATAGAAATTAAAATATTTATTCAAACCTAAGCCAAACTGTTATATCTATCAATTTCAAAGCTTGATAATGTTCTCGCTTGCCTTTGCTCAAATAATCCTTTTGAATAATATATGAAACCTAACAAATTTTTTGCATCGATTTGATCAATTTTTTAATAAATAAATATTTTAGTTCCACAAATTTTAGTTACTTCTACTTTTTCCAGAATATTTTTATTTTATATCAGTTCTGATAAAACTTACTGAACACATGCCATAATGTGATCAAGATAATCAAATTGATGTCCCGTCCAAATATCATCGCTACTTTTATCAATGAACGTTCGATTATTCTATAATATAAAAATTGTATTTAAACTTAAAACAAATATCTTTTTTCATTAACATCATCAAAACTTTTCAGAAAAATAATCAACAAATTCTATTTTGATTTTCCAAAAAGTAAAAAGCAATTGCAATTTTCAGTCCAAGTTTTCAACCCATTTACTAATCTTTATTAATTTATGAACCCAAATATCTTCTTTTTTGCAATAAACTTCATCAAATAAAGCAAGTTCGTCGAAAAGTCATGAAAATCCAATCACATATGGTATTATCAAATTTGGTACAAAACATAATGACAAAAAATATTTGTACTAATTATCATAGCTATTATTATTGTTATTATTATTATTATTATTATTATTATTGTATTGAAATTTTTGAAAATATTACTTGAAAGTAATTTAATACTGTCATAATGGCACAATGTTGATTATCAGGTTCCATTGGTTTATAACATACATCTTGAAGCCTTACTTGAAAGCCATCATCTGCTATAGCGACCAAATTTGTTACTTCTTCTTGCAATTTTGCTGCCTAAATTCATTTGTGAAATTTTTTTTGATCAAAAAATTAAATTTTCGCATTATTTTAAGCAATAAAAATCTTTTAAACTGTATATTTTGTATTGAAAAACGACAAATAACTTACTTGTTGAATGAATGTTTTCCGCAATGCTGGCCCATACCAGCCAATTTCAAATATATCAGACTGATTTTCATGCGACCAAAATGACTGATCTTTTGGATACATAATTATTTGTTCAGTTCGATAGAATGGACTCAAATTCAAATCAATTAAAAACTATAAATTACTTAGTTTAGATTTTGAAAAACAAACAAAACGATGTAATGATTTTAATATCAATTAACTTTAAAAATACCAATATGAAAGTTAATAGATAAAAATTTAAATAAAGTCTACAGTTGAAAAAATTTCAAACTTTATCAAACTTAACTTGATTATTTTTCAAAAGTTTAATAACTAAAAAAAATTTCAACCTTTCAAAAAAAAGATTTTGTTATCAAAAAAATAACAATTTTAATAAAATATTCTCACTGACCGTTAAAGATTAATAATTGTAGTATATTAAAAATTAGAAATTATGCGATATTTTAATATCAGTTGTAAACATAAACTTACCCAAATTCGTTATCAAAATATTGTTTTTCATTTCTTGCTCGACTTGCCAAAGATGACCAAAGTTCTACTGGATCTGTTGTAAATCTTACAAAAAACATTCCACTCGAGCAAAGTACAGCGACTGATATGCCAAAACCAAATACAACAAACGAATGATTTACACAAAACTAAAATATTAATTAATAAAGTTTTTTTAATTTATGGATAATTTATAATTCAAAAATTTAATGAATTTTTAAATCAATTTGATATCAGCATAATTAATGCCAAAATGAAAAACCATTTTTTTACTTCAACTATATTCTGATTATTTTATTTTGAGTACTAGTACTGTTATTAATTAATTTAGCTATAAAGAAATGTTTGTCATTAGATATCTGCACATTTCATTGTAATTCACTATCATTTATAATTAGTAACTTGCAAATTTTTATTACTTTTCATTTTATTATCATTATTAAACAATATAAATTCATATCTAAAATGTGAACTACTCTTTTTGCAGTGAGCAAAAAATAATATCTTTCCACAAAGAATTTGTGATAATAAAACAGTCTTAATAAAAAATTAATACGCAAGTCAATTGAACTTTTTTATCCGTAAAATTTACGAATAAATTTTATTCATTGGTTTTGCAATATACAAATACCAATGACCCTTTGTTTAAATACATCCCACAATTTTGTTATAATAATTAATGCAAAATTTACTTCTCCGTAATTAGTGCAAATAAGTTCAAGTTGTGATTCGATCCACAATCCTAAAGTATCAATAGCACCCAGATCAGTATCATCTAAAGTTCCACCAGCTGGCTTAAAATCACTCAAATCACAATCTCCGTCTTTTTTCATACTATAATGCATTACTGCAAAAAATAGCACCGCAAAACATAATCCACAGAATCCAAATAAGGATAAAATTAGCATACAATCAAATGATGCAATTTGACACTTTTCCTAAAATCAAAAATTGAAACAAATGTATAAATTCACATTAATTTTTGCAAAAATTAGTATTAATTATTTTTTCAAAATATTAAATTTCGCATTATATTCTGTATTAAATTTGTTTTTTATCATTAAAATATAATTTCATCATTTTTACTTTTTTTCCAAAAAATCTCAAAAGTTTTCAATATTCTTATAGTGCAAATCTTCATCTCTTGTAAGTAACTTATCTTATTCTTTAGCGTGAAAATTAGGCTAACAATTTACCTGTTTAATTATAGGAAAAGGTAATTCAGCAATACAAGACTCAGTACAATCTTGACATGAACATGGAGAACCACGAGGATTAGCAGGTTCTGAACACGTATATACACGTGTATTTGGTGGTATAATATCCAAACTTGTTTTATTTAAAGCATTTGATTCTATAGATATCATATCCAAAGACGTGATAGTAAACGTAATATCAATAGGTACTCCAATGTCTTCATTATAAGTACCTAAAAACGTCAACCACCGATTTATATCACATTCCGTAATGCTCATGCCACACATAAAACTTAACGCATAATCTGTCCCTGCTGCTCGGACCTGAAAATTTAAATACAAGATATTTTTATTGCTAAAATTGTTAATTATTATACAACAATTTATTTTAACTTTTTTTCATCTCTCTGCTCTTATACAAAAGCCAAAATATTAATTGCAATAGGATGAAAAATATAATTAATAAAAAAGAAAGATGACTCAACTAGTAATTGTAGTCTCATCTTAATTAATTTTGATACATCACTTTAAGTTCACAAATTGGATTAATTACAATTAATTTTTTAAATACTAAAAAGTGTTTGAAGAAAAGACGACATTTTTTAACAGAATTTTTATTAACTATTCAATAAATGCATTGAAATGAAAAATTAAGTAAAAATATTGGTATTTATGGTTATTTCTACGAGAAGTTTTCATATAATCAGCAAAAATGGGAGACTATATAAATGATCTGACTGAAATTATCACAGTCGAAAGTTATAAAGCTTTTTATATATCAAAAAGTGTTTTACTTTTCCGAATTCAATATTTTTAACAATAATTAATAAAATCATTTCCATTTTTAAATTTGTGAAAAGCTTATATAAATTTGATTTTTCATTTTAGTCTTTTCATTTTCTTACAAAACTAAACTTACATTCTTGCAAGACTCAAATAAACCATCTGCATAACTATCCCTTATATAATATTCGGTTTTTGCAACATACTGCTCCTTATCTTTCCTATAAAATTAATAATTTTTTTATTTTTGTTCATTAATTGAATAATTTCAAATTCGCTCAATAATTATTATTAAAAAGAATTTTAGCGATTTAACTTCAAAGCTTTATTTTATTTTATTTTCGTTGAAATTTTTAATACATCAGCAACTCAATTCAAATTTTTCTAAACATTAAATATACAAATTACGAATTCCAAAAAAAAAACTGACTATCAAATAATTTTAGCTAGTTAAATAATGTCCTCATTATATTAACAAGTTCATCACAAAATAATTTTAAAATTTACAAAAGATATGAATCGTTGGCAGATTCTATAACACGTAGGAAATTAGCTTGATTCGGAGAACACGTAAAATCACACCATAACTGAATGAAATTAGTTAAGCAACTTGGACAACGTCCCAGAAATTGACGTGGTAGCGTAAGTTGTGCATCCAATAGTTCGATTTGTTGCCCATTACAGCAAAATTCCTCATTAGTATCTGAACATGATAATATTCAATATCAATATGCAATTAAAAATTTAAATATTTATCAAATAAACATACTGTGTAATCCAAATTTTCATGTACATTACTGAAGTATTTTATCTTCACTTAAAGGTGCTAAATAGTACTATTATATTTAATCATATAAGATTTAATTAATTACTTGCACTAATACAATATTGTTAATCATACTGTTGGCACTAATTGTATGAATTACATTATTATTACTAGTAAAAAAAGTCTAACAACTTTTTAGTTAATAAATTAAGATGTCTGATTATGTAACTCAAGGTAAATGATAAAGGTACGAAGCAATAAATAGGGATTTTAATAGCTGACGTCGATAATATAGCTCGAATTACTTTCCATATAAGGTAATTTATAAACAAATAGTATCAAATGCATACTGTAGGTTACTGTAAAACATTATCTCTGATATTCAATTAAAAAAGTAGCAAATAATTTCTCACACGCTATTTTCAATAAAATTGAATTTATTCAAGTCGATGGTTAAATTTTCATGATGCATTTGTTTTATTGCTTCTAAAATTTGAAATTAAATTCTTTACAGATAAACACATATTATTATAGTTTTGATTTCTGATTTCTTCAATCCATGACTTTAAATTTCTGATTGAACAAATGGGAACTTTTAAGGACTGGCTGAAGTAATATAATAACTTTACAAAGGTTAAAAGGTCATTTGAAAAACAAAGAAATATAATTCTTTATTCTTCAAAATTCGTTATTTAAGTAAATAAATTCAGTAATATCTTTGTTAATTCTTTTCCTTTATTTCCAGTCCTTACTTTTTTGCTGAAACTTACCTAAAATCTCAAAAAGATTTAATTAATGAGCAAATTCAGATTGATATTAAGTGTTAATTTGTAATCGCCAATATTTAACTTTGTATACGATTTCAAAGTTTTGCAATTGTAAAATAAAGTTTTTCACAACTTTACAAAATGTAAGCAAAAGTTTGAAAATACTTTAGTAAAAATTTTGGATTATTCAAAAAATAAATAAAAATAGAATTTTTGTGGTAGTACAATCATGAACGAACACGTGCAGATGCTTAGATTACGCAGAAAATTAATTCCAAAAACGTAATATTAATTTAGCACATAATTAATGATCTAATAATAATTTGGCACATAATTTCATACTTCAAAAAATCCGCTAAATTATTAATTATTTTTCAATATATTCATAAATTAAAAAGTTATTTATTTTTCAATATTACTAAAGCAGTGTTTCTATTGATATAAAGTATTGCACATGTTGTTTTCACGTTAATCTCGTAGTGAGGCTCTTAAATCACGCATTGAGCAGAAACAAACTTGAGAAAACATAATTACTACTTCATATTATTATTTACTCACAAATTATTATTTCTAATAAAAGAATATAATAAGAATACTTTTTCCGTAATATAATGGAAAAATGTTTAGAAATGTGTTTTCGCAAATATATTGCGAGTTAATTAAATAAAATGAGTCATAAAATGGCAAATGAAAAAACTGAAAACTTACAAATAATAATAAATTTTTGATTGAGACTAAAATTATTTTTTGCTTTTATATTTGTTTGTTTGAAAATTGATTGATTTAAGTGATTTGAAAATGAAAAGAGAGGCAAAAAATGTACAATATTTTTTAAAATAAATATTTTTTTCTTTGAAATTTTTATGACACTATGACTAACAAATTTTAATTCTCAATTTCAATTTCAATTTTTTTGCAGTAGAAAACTAAAACAATTACTATTAAATTTATATTTAAATTAATTATCGATATAAAATTTGCGTTCTACAAAAGTTATGTAAATGTAAAAGTATTAAGGAAGGAAAGAAGTGAATTGAGCAGAACTGAAAAAAGTTGCTATAAATCGCAAAGGTCAAAACTGAAATCAAGGCAGGGTTAAGCTACCATATCATATCTTAAGATTCATTCACGGGTAAAATGATAAAAATTAAAAAAATTTGTGATTAGTTGTTCAGTTAACATAATGAATGAGCTAACTAAACATACTCATTGGCAAGTTACGATAATTGTTCTATAGTTTCTGGCTAGGTTTCAGTTTATATATTCGTTTTCTGATCAAATATGATCGATTTTAAGCTGAACTACTTGATCAAATACATTGATATTATTAACATATTGTTAACATTTTGATCCACAATTTTGTTAATTTAAAAATTTTATAACCTGCAACAATAAAAAATAATCAAATAATAAACTATCTGATGAAAAGGAACTAAACAATAATAAACAAATAGGTATCTTAAATTTGTTATACATAGTTTAAAAAGAAAAGGTTAAAACAAAAAGTTCACTACGTAATTTTAAATGACAATCTCTATAACAATACTAAAGTATAGATTAAAAACATTTGTTTATTAGTAATTTAAGTGGAGTCAAGCTAGACAGTCAACGTACTGTTTTTATTCTGACTTATGTATGAAAAATAATTTTGCATATTAGCATACAGCAATTTATAATATGTAAATAAGGCAGCGAGGAGATATAGTCTAAAAACTAATTTGCATTTTCTATCAGCCAAAGTGCTAGAAAAAAGCGTGTTTTTTCGTTCCTGTCGAGTTTTTAATAGAATGCTTCATAGTAACTCACTTTATCAAATTTTTTAAGTAATCGAAAGTGAAAAATGTCTTTAAAGTTCGTACAGTGAAACTTTGAATAAAAATCTGTTGTAAAACTTCCAGGAAAAATTGAATCACTGCAATTTCATTCACAAATGTATTCTTTAACAGAATGCTTCATAGTAACTTACTTTGATACTTGATTTGAGTAGCTACATTTTTTAATACTAAATAATAGCTATTCAAAATTAATGCATCAATTTTTTAAATCATTATAAATGCGTTTTTTTTTCATAAAATTTTGTTGCAATTGACTGCATTTGCATAATTTCGTCTTAAATTCTAATGAATTTTTAATTTAGTCAAGTGAATTTCACAAAATTAGAATACGAAACCTTTAAACAGATGCGGGCAGAGTGATGCTAATGTTTGTTGATGTTGCTTATTTGATAAACGTAATGGCGGTCCATTATAAGGACAAGTTTGGTGCATACCACCACGATTTCCGCAAATCCCATGCATAGAACATCTTCGTAACGTGAGCGGTGGAACGTTTGATAATGACGTACCAATACTTTCATTACTTACAGCACCACAAGAAATTTGAAGATAAGCAGCCAAAAGAGCAAATTGAACAGCGTATATTTGCCGTACAAGCATGTGACTTTCGAAAGTATGCAAATATTTTCAATAAATTTAAATTTCATAAGATAAAAATTGGTTCAAATTAATTGTTTTAAATGTCAAAAGTGAAGAAATAACGTGAAGATGAATTATTGATTAACATTGATTGTGTAGGAGTAAGTATAAAGCAAATAAAATTGAATATTATATCAGACTTTTCGCATAAATAAGTAGTATATGAATCTCTCGTAGAATAATAACAATGATGATTGCAATTCAGTTATAGTTTTATTTCCTGAAAATAATAATGATTAAATAAAGATTTAGAAATTATTGACCAATCAATAGCATCCATAAACAGTAATTGGCCGCATGGATTACAAATTCTATCAAACAACAATAAATTATTTAATTTTTAATGAATCGTAGTTACATTTATCTGATTTCTAAATGTTAATTATTCAAGAATAACGCGTAGTATCTGACGTATGACAGTAAAATACTCTACCCCAAAACTAGAATCGATTCTTTAAAAAAATAAAAAAACATATTTATATTTTCTTACCCGATGGACTTATTCTAATTTACTGACCTACCATATTTATGTCATATCTCATAGAAATGCAAATAATCCCATCATTTTATTCTAACTATTAAATTTGCATATTAAGACAAAATCTATTTATAAGAACTGATTCTAATTTACAGGTGAAATAATGCCGTCATTCATCGTTTGCACTTTTTCAATTTTTTTTTTGTAACTTTTTTATGTTTGAAAAAGAAATGAATGAAAGTAAGTAAGTAAGTAAACGACAAAAATAAAACAAATAAAAAAGTTTCCCGAAAAACCGACAATTGAGAACTGCAAAACTTGAAATAATTTTGTTGAAGTAAAACATTGTAACGCACATTTTTCAATAATTTTCATTCTTAATACTTGAAATTCATTTTTTATTGATATTACTCAGAAGGATTGCTTCAGTAAATGTCTACTGAAGAGATTAGTGTTTTTTGTAAAATAATTGAAACTAATTCAGAAAGCTTCTGATTCCTTTAAACTGGCCACTTTTTTAATTTTCCAACACACGCAAATATATTATAAATATGGCAAGCTATAAGCTTATATACTTCAATGACGTGACAGATTTTTTGGCAATTAGCACAGAATTATTAATTTTAGTGCTAGGAGTAAAACATGCTTGAACAAAATCATCTGCAAACTTATTAAAAATGATAGGAAAGCTTTAAGAAATGGACAATGAATGGACATTGAACTTATATATTGTATTTTTCTGAAGTAGTATAAAGCTTATTGAATTAAAATTGGTAGTTAATGCAATATCAATTTGTGGATGGACAATAATATTTTGTATAATAAGCGATTTTCTTTAAATTTTCCAATTTTTTCTCAAAAAATAAATTTCATAAAAATGACAAATACTCTCAGCAACTTCTAGCACTAATCTAGTCAAGAATAAGGCTAATTTGTTGCAAACATTATACTATTCTCACAGCATAACAAAATGCTCAGAGTAACACACATCTACACAAATATGCACAAACCAGCAATAAACTAAAAAAAGCAAATGGAATTGAAAAATGAAAGACTTAGTCTCAAATTCATTGGACGAGACGGTGGGAAAAAAACTCGAAGTAAATTTTTATCGTTGAACAAAATAGTTGAAAAAAGAAAAAACTGAAAAACTGAAAACTTTCTCAATATGAATACGACTCTTACCAAGTTTATTTTTATGCTTTTTCGTTTAGAAAGATGCAAATTTTCTTTCTTTGCATAACTGACGAAGAAAAAGCAAAATGTGGCATTAGAAATGTTGTGTAATTTGCATAAAATAGTTAAGGATAAGCAAATTAATTTACTTAAAATAAGAGATTATAAGAAGAATTGTTTTACATAGACATTTTATACATCCTCTACATTCCATCGTTAAATTACAAACTAAGTAAAACTGATATGAATAAGCAAGTAAATTAAGTAAGTAAATAAAATCTAATTGAATGAAATGAATTGGTCATGTCAAAATGTATTAAAATCAAAATGAATATGCCCAGCTAAGTAATTTAAGTATAATCATTAAAATTTTAAATTAAACAGTAAAAATTACGTAACTCAAATAAATCAAATTAAGTTGATTTAACTTATTTAGATCAAATCAGATCTGATTTTAATGAAATTCATTTTGCTCTAATTATCATAGCAAAAACTGATTTTAAAAAAAACTGTGAAAAACAGATATTTCTCCATTCAAAATTAGCGGTAACAATGATTGCCAGAAAGAACGAAAAAATAAAAAAATGTAAAGGAATAAGTGACACAAATGATTTGGCGCTGGGCGTATTTGGGCCTTTTGATGGAAGGTTGAATAAGAATCCAAATGTTTTGAGAGCATATTTCTAAGAATATTTTACACTCACTTGCATATATAAATTTATCATTTAATTAATAAATAATATCTTGCTAATTATACACAAATTAGTTAAAAAATAAAATTAACAAATAAAATATACAACCAAATACTATTTATTTATTTTTGATACTTAGTAAAAAGATTTAATTTGAAAAATTTCGCAGATTTTGAAATTATATTTGATTAAAAAAAATACTAATACAAAATATTAGCTGTTTAATAAATTCTCAAAAAGTTACTGTCAGATATGATTCACTTTTATTATTACTACAAGAATAAATATTGTACTGTTAAAAAAATATTATCATTATTAAAAAAGTGATAAGAATACTTTTTTAGTGCCATTGCTTATAATGCTTATACTGCTTATAAAAGGCTTTGGCAAAAAAGGAAAAGCAGAAATAGGCCTTTTATTTAAGGCATAGCAAGTGGAACGAAAACAGCAAACATCCTTGTGCACATGCCCGCTCCGCTGTACTCTCTCTTATATTATTTAATCCATCAAAACTGCCAGTCAATTTTCACACTCTTTTCTTTTTTTTATTTTTTCATATGTATGTGTGTGTGTACGTCTTTGTGTGCACCCCTATGTCTCTGTTCATGTATGTTTGTCCATCTCAACATTACATTTATATATGTGCAACTGTCTGTTTACATATGTATTTATGCATGTTATATGAATTTCAATGTGTGTGTATGTGTGTGTGTGTTATAAATGTGTCTATTCTTAACTTTGTTTACATGTATATATCTTCACGTGTCTGTCTACGTGTATGTTTATTCATGTATGTGTTTTTGTGTGGATAGATTACATGTATCATAACTTGTTTGCACGCATATTTCTATGTCTTTACTGACGCATGTATATGACTACACGTGTTATTCAATATATATATGCTATACGTGTCAGTCTACGTGTCTGTCTAACTTGTATGCCTATATGTTTGTGACGAGTATATAATTAGTTTGTTTGTGTATATGTATCTTACGTATTTGCTTATTTGCACGTGTCTAGATCAAGATGTATCCTTATGAATGTATAAATATGCGTTTCTGTTCATTCATACGTAAAGTTATTTACGTGCTTGTACACTTGCGCATATAAGTGTATGTTCACTTATCTACGTGTATGTACGTCGACGTATGTATTTATGACAACGTGTGAAACTATAAGTTTACATTGTGTGCATGTTTGTCCATAAATGTCAGTTGATTTTCGGTGTATGTACATACTTACGTGGGTGAGCATATATTTTTTATCTTGATACGTAAAAATAAGTTTCAAGAATCTTCGCAAATTTTTAGGTATTCATTTCAAATTAAGCTATCGCATTTCAATTCAAACTATACTAAATAAGAAAAACGAAAACTGATCAATGAAAGCAATAATTTTCGTGCAGTATCAAGTACATATTTCCAGTTTGAGACCTGCCTTTCAATGGCTTTTCATACATTTTGACTTTTCTCTGGCTAAGTTTTCACGTTCCAATTTATTCCGCCTTGTTCAGACTACATCAGTCTTTGATTTATTGCGATGACCTGTAGTCTGTTTTCCACCTACGTTAGCTCTTTCTTTACAATTTGGCTTACTTACCTTAATTTCCCACCAAATTAGTAATAATCAATGCTAAATAGACATCGCTTTATTTTTTGAAAAGAAATTATAGGTATTTACTGCTCACATTTTTACTTTTACTTTCACATCTGCAAGCATCTTTTATTGAGTGACTTTTTAGGATAAAATTAAAGTCCTAATCACATTATTGACGGAATCCCACAACTGTGTAAAAGGGATGGGCAGCAATTTTAATTAATGCGTCATTTCACATTTTACAGAACTTCTTATTTACGTACTCATTTCACATTATTTTTACGTAACCCTAATTAATAATGGCAGTAAATGTCAACTGCTCTAATTTTTTATATAGCTAATCCATCTACTTTCAAAAGTGGAAAAATTTTATGCAGCAATCGCTGAATTTGCATATTTTGATTAAAGACTAAAAGATTATTTTATTGAGACAAATGTGCCTCCTAATTTTCAATTTGATCAAAAATGCTATAAAAATTTTAAGGGTGCGTAGCTGAGAGAGGAAGCAAATTATAGTGTGCACATTGAAAGATCCATATTGACAGATAAGTTTTCCAATGAAGGAATTACTTGAAAGTATTGGTAATTATAGTACATAAAATGAATAACTACTACACGTGAAACGGATAAGTGCTATATGTGAAATTGATATTTACATGAATTCCAATTCTTTGCCTAAATGGTCGATGATCTCAGTGAAAAGTTTGGAAAAAAAGCAATTTGTGATATGAGAAAAATAAGTGATTTTTCGCTATAAAAAAGTGAAACAAATAGACACATTTGCATATCACAAAATAAGCATATCGAAGGCTACCTTTCAATATGTAAAAATAAATACTTTCTGACGAAGAATTTTGGTTTAAAACCTACAAAAATTAAGCGCTTAGAATGTGTAAAATTTATATTATAACAGCAATGCGTATAACAAATTAAGCTTAGTAGTATGAATACTAAAATTTAAATTATTGTTTGTTTTAAATGCATACATTTCACCGTAATCATAAACAAACATGTGGAAGTATCATTGAGGATCTTTGAATTTAATAATAACAACAATAATGAATCACTAAAATATGATTTGGAAATTTAAAAAGCATTTGAATGAATCACTAGATTGTAATTTACAGATAGCTGCGTTTTGCTTTTCGACTTTTTTAATACAGATGCAAATTTTTGCATTATCGACATTTCCAGATTCTTATTCAGTAATCTTGCAATGTGATATGTTTTACATTATTCTGATAGTCATGATTAAGCTGAATTGATTGTCATAGTCAAACTCAGTTATTAAATATTACCAGACTCAGGCACAAAACTGCATTTCTGAGACAAAGTTCAGGCAAAAGTATTACATTTCTATTACAAGTACGATAGTAAAAGTAATTGCTAATAACTTTGTGATTATTAAAATCAGCGCTTATATGAAGTGCTCGATTTGATTACTAATTTACAAAGGCTTTTGCTTGCTAAAAGTATCATCAAAATAATCAGATATTTGCGCATTCCATCAAAAATATAAAAAGTGGAATTAAAAGTTGGCAAAGTATTGGCATAATTTTAATATAATGACATCTACAAAATCTTTTATCAATTTTATGCTTTTATATTTTTTGCTGAAATTTCTAAATTATTGATAAAACTTCTTGGATGTTTTAAAATGACTAATCAATTATAACTTCTGAAATGCTAAAAGAATTTTATATTTTTCAAAGCAACAAGTAGTGTTAACAATGTTTTGTTCTTAATTTTTCACTACTTTCAACAGTTTTTCCGATTTAATTTATAAATTTGTGTGTTGTAATTTTTGATTATTGCCACTTCGAAATATTTAACAGAGAAAACAGCCGTACAAAATAGGATAATAATTTGACTAAAATGCAAGATTAATGCTTTTTGGTTAATGATAACTCTCGTTCTTTGTTTTGATATTTTTTAGATTATTAAAATGTTTTATAAATTATTAATTACGTGACCTCTTCATGAACTTTTTTAAAAATTTTACAATAACAACAAATATTTTCCTTTGTTTGACCTGAGCAATTGCAATTTAAGAAGCAGAAAAGTGTCTGGTATTTACGTATTTTAACAATCACTGAAAAATAGAATTCAGTAAGCTTAGTGCTGAATACTTTTAGATAGAAATAGTGAATTCTACTGTAATTATTTATAATTACTTAATTACGCATCTTTTTGTGCTAAATGCATAAAAATGTTTCATCCAAAAAGTCTACCATTTTCCCCTATTTTTTCATATAAAAATATTGAATTCTGATTTTTGAAATCGTTTTTAATATTAAGTAAACAAAACATTATGTTCATCTAGTGAAAGGATAAAAAAATGAAAATTAAAAATATTTTTATGAAACAAATTTTTCTGCTGTTGCGACTTTTACTTCAAAATTTCCAAATATTTTTTAAATTTTAATGCTTGGAAATATTTCCTCATACTGAATACTTTTTTATCAAGTTTTAACAATTTAAAACTTTCAAAAATTTTTGATTTTTTTAAAAATTTTGTTTTAAACAGTAGTAGCAATAATTTGTTTATTTGCGTCTACTGATGTTTTTCAAACTTCTTGATAGGATTTTAGTTTTGAAAATAAAAGGGAAGCAATTTTAGTCATACCAGTAAATGAATTTTAATTATAAACCAACATAATTCGATTCAATGTTGAATTTTGAAAATTAAATTTGCAGAGTAATGAGCAAGAATATCTGAAGCAAGAACATCCAAACAAACACTATAATATTGAAGCATTGTTTATTATTATCGTCAGTATTATTGTTATCACTATTATTCATTCAAAAAGATGACCGATGACTTCACAATATCAAAAACTTGTATAATCTGTAGAGTGCAATAAGATAAATATTAAATGCGGCACAGTAATGATAGTTATAGCATTTTAAGTTTTTCATTTCTGATTATTTTTTCTGCTTCAAAGTATCAAAATTAACTTTAATCTACAAGCATATTACTAGTATTAAAAGTGAACCTGCAACCTCATAACTGTAAACAATTAATTTGCAGTTTAAGTCTGAGCTAAAAGAATTTATTTATCAAAAGTGAAAAGTCTTTTGCACCTTTAATTGTACATTTATTTTCATCATTAAAATAACAACTTTAAAATTATTTATATAAAATTCTCATGCAATCAATAATCATAATTAATATTGTTATAATTGCTTATTGCTTCAAACGGTATAAGCAAATAGGCAGTGTAATTCATGAAATTTAAACAAAAATTATACAATAAAGGAATGAGCACTTTGTAATTATAATTATTTTGTAATTATGACTAATTTTAAATATTTTTTCTCAAAATAATGCCAGTTTATTATTTCCTCAATTAGTTAAAAACATCATATCTGAGGTCAGTTGTTTTTTGCAATAAAAAACTTATCTTGAGACATTTTAGATTCAAGTTCTTCAAAGCCCACACTAAAACATCCAATCCAATTCATTCTTATGTCAATTATGGAACAATTCATTCATTTTATTAAGCTCATTTCTAATACCTTGAAATAATTTCAGTGCATTTTTGATACTTTTTTCCAAGATTAATTCTAGATCCGAGTACCGAAAATATACTTTACAGTAATGTGAAATATTCATAGTATTTCAAAAAATTAATAAATAAGTTTACAGAAAATGATTATATTTAATTACAATTATATTTTTACACGCAAAAAAATAGCAAAATTAGTCAAATCAAAGAACTTTTAAAATAAATTAATGCTTAAGCGGTTAATTTGCAACGCTCTTTAAGGATATTTGCCATGTCTGTAAGTTTTTCATATCGTTTTTGGGCATTTACAGTATAGCCTTTATATCCAAATAACAATTTTAAACTAAATTCAATACTTAAAAAATTCTCATCATCTGATACTTCATCGTTACATAAATTGATATAAAATTTATTCAGTTCAGTAGCACGTTTGATCCATATTCGACCTTCAATCAGCCATTTCCATAAGTTATCTGCAACATTCTCAGGTCAAATATTTACTTATTGTTCAATCAAACAATAAACTAATCAATAATTTAATCAAATAAATATACGCAGTAGTAACCATTTGTTATCAGTGTCGGTTATTAAACCATTTGTGTCCAGACTAAACAATCAAAATGATCAAGTACAATAAAATTTGAACTTTCCTACAACAGCGCCATAACTTTATAAGCTATAAAATTCAGTTTATGTCAAGTAATTTTTTATACGTACGTGAAAGCAAATAAAAACTAAAAATTATCACATAGTATAAAACCTTCTGTCTGTACTTTCTGTATTTCCACTTTCCATAATTTGTCATAATACGTAATTTAAATATTAGCAATATATACTCCTACAGATTAGCTTGATTAAAAGTAAAAAAATTGTCTAAATTTTAAAGATTCATTTTAAATCAGTAGTTTGAGCATTTAAACTCCGTTTTACAACGTTCATTGCATCTATTCACAGCAAATTTTGCATGTAATCCACGCTTTCAACAATATTTGTAATAGCATAATTTTGGCTTGTTTCGTTATGTTTATCATACAGAAACAGAATTATCCATTTTATTAAGCGATAAGTTCAAATTTTGTATTAATTATTGACAGGAAAACTGGAAATGATAAAAACTTGCCAACTTCTGTTGTTGATTTAATGACATCTAAGCAATAATCAGTTGACTGCTTAGCCGAGAGAATCTTGATTAGTACTTGCATGAATGGTATATTTATTTTTGGGCAGTTATTAGGTAAGGGCTCACAATTAAGCACTTTCGCAGCGATTAATTGAAGATTTTTTCGCATTTGACATAAAGTTTTATCATTTGCAATAAAAATTACCTATAAATAATAAAATGCCTTACTCATGTGATTATGCAAATTTTTATTTTAGTTCAGTTAATTTTCCACTTTTACAGATATACATTTAAGCATTTGTCCATGTTTCTGTGTAATATTTTGATTTATTTTAACGAATTTTTGAAGTTTCTTTTGTTTTGAAAAAAAGTTTTAATACTTTTTGCAATGTTTTGATTTCTTTTAAATCAAATATTAAAGAAATTTAAAAAATGTCAATAAAGTAAGCGAACTCTTGAAAATCTTTGAGAAATTTAAATTAATTTGAGTTTACTAAATTTTATATTTTTAATTTTTGTAAAATATATAATCAAGATTAATTGAAACATTATCTAAGGTAAAAAGTGGAACGGAAAAAAGTTGCAGTTTAAGTAATTATTGAAATTCGAAGATAAGTAATTATTGAAATTCGTAAGTTCCAAAAAGATTAACGATAAAATCGAAAAAAAAGCAATAAAAATTAGGAAAATTTTTCATTGTGACTTTCAAATAATTTTAAAATAGTAGAAATTAGGAAGTCCAAATTGTAAAAATTGCGAATTACTGTCTTTCTGAAGAAAAAAATTGGGTCAACAGCAAAACATTAATTACGATTAATCGAAATTGTACACTAAGTGAAAATATTTTGTGCAGATTTGATTAAAAGTATTTTTAGTTACAAATGAACTTACCATTTTTTAATTTACAATAAAAACTTAATACTTGTTTACTTAATTCTTTTTGGATAATGTGTTTATGCTAATGCATTATATATTATTGTTTGCACTGAAATTTGTGCATTTTATCATAATGCAATTATGTTACAGACAAAAATTTATTTTATGATTTGATGGAAACAAGAACTAACTTTATAATATAAGTAAGTTATTAGGTCTTAATTTTTAAACTTAATTTTGTTATTTTAAGTCGGAAATTTTACAAATTTAAAATTAAAACGTACATGGTCAGAGCATAGTGCATCAATAAGCGTAACGAACGAAAATGCATTACCATACTGCAATAATAAAGACTTTGAAATTTCCAGCCAAGCACTGTATAATGCGTAGCGTTCGGTATTATACGCCTGATGCAGTATGGACAAAATGCATAAATAATGCAAAGAAAGACTGCTGAAATTTTAAATTTAATTATGAAAATTGTTCAAGCATTTTAAATAAGTTATTTCTGAGATTTTAATTAAACTGGTCTAAATCTTAAGTCTTCTTAGGCAAAAATTAGTATTTGAATTCTTTAAATTCTGATCACAATGTTGTTCTATCTTTTCAAAAAACAGATAATTATGTAACTATGAAAAAATAAAGCGATAATACTTAATAACAGGAAGTTATAAGTTTTTTAAAATTTTCTTACTCATTTTTTATTCAGAAAATTTGTTTATTATTTTTTATTGAAATTATCTAACCGCTCTAAAAGATCATTTCTAACAGTTTGTCCATTGGGTAGTAATATAAGCGAAAGGCCATTTAACTGTTCACATTTTGTTAAGTTCTGCAAAAAAAGACGATAAAATATTTTATTAGCGAAAAATAAAAATTAAAATATTTATTATTGGATGATTTAAAATAAATATATTAGAGTAAGAATATAAAATAAAATCTTATTCGACTATAAAAAGAATAAAGGCCTGGAAAAGCCCATAAGTCTAGCTAAAAGCATAGTATATTTTTTCAAATAAATTGAGAAAATGCTGTCAACAGCTATTTTTAAAGTTAATTTATCTGTAAATCTTCGTTAAGCTAACAAGTTAACACTTAATCGATTTTATATAAAAATTAAATAATAATACGATATTATTAAAGCGTTGTTTACTGATAAAAAATAATGATAAAAGCATTTTTTATTCTTAGTCTTCAAATCTGTCACATAAAACGTCGAATAAATAAATAAATACTTTGAAATTTTTTTCAAGCCTTAACAGTCGACAATCTTCCAAAGTTATCAGTTTTGCACACTTTTCTGCTTTTTTGCTCAATAATAATTGTCTGAAAACCGTTAATGGTTATTTTTTTCTGCAATAATAACTTTAGAGTTTTTGATTGTAGTAAAATGAGGTGGTTTATTGCATGGATTCACATATTTTATAAGCAAAGAAATATCAATTAGCAGATTTATTGCTAAATTAAAGAAAATTTAATTGAAATAAGAATTCATAAAATATTTTATTAGCGAAAAATTAAAATTAAAATAGTTTACTAAAGTAATTAAAAAACTAGTTTTACTTGCCTAAACTTTTGCAATAGCTCTTGTGATTGAGGTTTATTATTAGGTTCAATCAAAGCTGAACGATGATTGATCAAATCTATAGCAGAAGTACTAGCTTTAGTACAATTTAACACCTTTGGTTGATCATAATCCGCATTATCTGCTACACAACCACTATCACGAATTGGTAATGAAAATTTTCTTTTTGGTAATGCCGGTACTGAACCGGAACGTGGAATGCACCAATGTAAACGACTGATATCATGACAAGATGCAGATGTAACTTGAGATAACTTCGTAGTATTTAACCTTTTGCTAGTCTGGCTAGATACGTCATCACGCAAAGAATTTAGAGAGATCAGTGAAGATTTGTGAGTTGGTAGATGATTTAAACTTGAACTTGAAGCATCTAACACTTCATCTTCATTAGGGGTTACTAGTGGACTTTCCAACGGTATTCTAGATATGGGCAACTTCATGTTTTCGTCCATAGCATCGTAATCCACCTCAGAATACTAAAATTTTCAAAATTTTTATGTTTTTACGAATACTTCTCATATTGAAGTCTACTTATTGTAAGAATTTTCGTAATGTATAAAAATTTCAATTAAGGTTTTATGCATTAAAAAAACCTCTTCTTGATCTTCACTATCAGGTGATTGAATTGGCTTTGGTAATGGACGGCTGAGTAGATCAGAGAGGGATAAGTGAGATAATTCGCTTGATGGTATAGATGAGTCGGGTAGAATTGGTTCAAAAGTTGATTTTAAGTTGAGCTGTTTTCGGGCTTCATTCAGCATGACTTTCTGACTTAGTGATCTATCTTGATCTGCAATGCAACATTCAAGTCATTTTTACACATTTCAAATCAGATAAACTCAAATTATAATTAATTTTATGTCTAAAATTATTACTAACTATGTAGCAAGCAAAAATATGCACAGCTAAATATTAATCATTTGATATGTCGAGTAAAATAATTAATAAAAGATATTTATACTAGCTTAATTCACAGTATAACTCCAAAATGAGCTGGCTATCTCAAAAATAGATTTATCGAAAATTGAGAAGCGCGCAAAATTAAGAGCCAATTTGAAATGAACGTCATAATAACTTTGACAACTAATTAAAAAGTTTTACTTCAATAAAACGCTTAATTTTAATATAAAATAGTTCATTAGAACCAATTTACTTGTATGTTTTTAACTTACTTATTTAAATTATTTAGAGAAGTTAAAAAATAAATTAAGAAATTTCCACAAGTTATATATTTAGAAGTAGGGAATTAGAATGATTAAAAAAAAGTAAAAAATGTTTCAATAAGAAAAAATCTACTATTTCTGGATAAATGTGGTCGAAGAATTTTCACATAATTTTGTTCAATTTCAAAATTTGGTTCCAAAATTTTGTTGGCAATAACTGTTGTATTTGGTACAGGATTCTTGATAACACAGCCACTATTTCGAGTGATCGGTTTCTGATGTGTTTGATAAAATGTTATCAAATCAGATACACTTTCAAATTGCTCTTCTTCAAACTAAAAACAATCGTTTTAAAAATTAAAAAAATCACTAAATTCTAATTGATTATAGCACATTTTTGATTTATGCTAATTATGTTATCCATTAAATAAAAAGATAGATAATATAAATTATACTGCTTGATATCTGCTCAATTAATTTGAATTTAATGAATCTAATAAAAAATGTGCATACAATGCAATAGAAAATATTATTTAAAAATGAGTAATATGTGCAAAAAATTGATGTTTATTTTTTGGAAAAGTAAACCAATTAATATTTAGGTTCAAATAGATTTAAAAATATGATTAGGCTACTAGCAAACTTAAGCAGATTTATTCAAAATTAATAATTATAGACAAAAGTAAAGAGTATCAGTCTAAATTTTATATCTGAATAATCTAACATATATTGAAAATATAATTCATAAAATTATTCCCAAATCATATTTTTTTTGACTGTTTAAACTTTTTCAAATTATTGTAAAATCAAAAATATTTCATGAAAGGTTCTTACAATTCTTGTAAAAAGTAGTAACAAGTTCTTGTAATAATGATTTATTTTATAACCACTACTCTGAATTAAATATTAGAAATAGAAATAGCATAATCTAAAATATAAAAAGCAAAAGCACTCTTAGAATAGAAAATGGTTATTTACAACTAAAATTAAACATAGCAGATTTTTACATAAAGTTAGTTTAGTTTTGAGCAAAACTGAACTTAATTCAAGTTAAATAAAATCAAAATTCTAAAAAAAACGTAAAAAGTATAAAAATCTAATTTTTATAGTTCGATGTGTCAAAAAATGAACAAACTGGGTTACAGTTCAAATCATTTAAAAGTTTATTTCAGTTACTTTCAACATAAAAATGAGTAATAGAAATCAAATTAAGTTTACAAATTTTTTAGAGTGTTTGAAAATAAACAAAAATTGTTTGCGATATTCTGAGAGTTTTTATGAGATTTCCTGAAAGAGTTCCAAAAATCTCGACAAACTTGAAAGACAAATCCACTTGAGCTGTTAACTGATCGATCTTTATTGATTTGAAAATGTAAGGCATTTCCATTCCAAAAAGCGGTCAGTACAAAATCGCCTTTGAACGAAATGCTGTCTCGAACCTAAAATTATCATAAAAATATCATTTATTTGATCAAAAAGACGAGTTTTTGAGTTCAAAATTGTTGATAAATTCGTTGTAAAACAAAGTAAAAACTCAAACAAAAAAGCAACTTACCAATGCTTTGTCACTTAATTTTTTCAATGCATTCACGTAATAATCAAATTTTTACATTTGAAATCTCCCTTTACTCATTTTCAAAAGTTACGTCTGAATTTTTAATTTTTATTCTTTTTCCGGTAAAAGTTTTAAACGTTCACACGTTGTGAAAGCAATAATTTTGCCTGTTTGTGAAAAATTGAGTTCTGCTTGCAAAAAAAATTTTCGAAAATTCTACATCATATTCTCATATTGGCCATAAGATATAAATTTATTTCATGGATGAAAATTTATTATTTTTAAAATACTTGAATAAATATTTTGCATTAGCATAGAAGTGTTTTTGACAAATTAATAAATTACAAATGAATTCATACACTTATTTGAATATTACTTTCACTTCATTTACATATTGATTACTTTAATTGTAATTTGCAATACAGAAGTCATCATTACAGGCTAGAGGTCATCGCCCTGACAATAATAATTCTTAGATATGTGTGTGTGTTTTTCAAGGTTATAAAAAGTTATATTTTTCTTCATCTATCATAATTGTAAATTTCCATGACAAATATTCTTACATATAATTAATGTCAAATTATCATTATTTATTACACGCAAGTTAATCTGCTTCGTTATATTATCACGCTTTAAGTAAAATTATTACCCAAATTTTAAGGTAAATTAAATTAATATTATACCAGGAAGTCTCCTTGAGAACAAACCAGACATTCTGCACGTAATCTGGTCAACATTCCGTGGTACCAACATTCAAGACGTAATACTGATTCTTGCGAAGCACGTGGTACGTCATACGTTGGCATAATTGATGCCAATAATGTCATTCGTCTAAAAACAAAACATTTATTAATCTGTAAATTATCAGAAATTATGATTGTAATATTCAACAATGCATGTTTCATTCACTGATAGTTTATACAACTTTGTTGATTCTATCATAACAATAATTACTCAAATTTTTCAACATTTAAGTAAGATCGATCGAAAAAATTACTTTACAATAAGTATAGTATTCTTTAATCATATATAAAAGTTAAAATCCATTAAGATAAAATTTTTTCAAGTACAGTGCAAAGTAAATAAAAAGACTACCTCCACTTCAATTCAACAAAAAATTTGTTCAAAAGCTTAGCAAATTCTTCACTCAAAAAAAAGTTTTTGTTTTCTTGTGGTTTAAATTTTAAAAAAAATTAACATATTTTTTTCATGTAGAAAAAAATTTTCTATACAGTTATTATAGAATTGAACGTAATTATGAGTAACTATATAAAAGTAAACGTGCAGTAAACGTACGTGAATACTGAGCTAAACTAAACGACGATTGCAGAAAGTAAATCCTACGCGCAATAGGCCGCACTAATTATAAATAGACATTGGTCAGAGCCAGCAAGAAGTTGCAATATGAGGGATATAAATAATACCTGAGCCTTTATTTCAATATCGCTAATAACTTTTTTTACTTAATGTCAGATTTTTTTTTCACAATGATTAAATAAGTGGAAATTAAATCATAAATCAATTAGTGCAAAAGGCAAAAAAATTTTGAACAAAAAGCAAAAATGACTTGTTTTGCGACTATTAAGGAATAAAAATGGAAATGATTCTTTATATTAATTGATAATTGTTTGTCTTATAAAAAAGCAAAAAAAAGATTATTGACTGTTCAGAAAATCAGTGGATAATTTTTTATTCATAAATTATTATGATTCAATTTTGTAAAATTTGGAAAACCATGTATTCCTAGTGGAAGTATGCCATATTGAGAATATGAAATGGATTAAAAAAATGATATAAAGATTTAATGAATGAAAATATTTGATAATTGAATCAAGAACTGATTTGTTTATCAAAATGTGATATCAATATGAGTAAAATGAACTAATTCTTTGAACAAATACAAATAAAATCGTAGCAACAAATGTGTAAGGTTGAAATAACGTCGCTGCTGATATTATATCGACCGCGCAAGAAACAACAACAATTGTGCTTGTGAAGAAAAATGCATTGTCGTTGACCTTCAACCTATCTTCTAGACCGAGAATAATCACTTAACCATGCTAAGCTGATGAAAGCTCAACTCATTTACAGAAAACTTTAATTTTTAGTTAATGAGTTGCTTACCTAACAATCTATTTAATATTTCAAAAAATAATTAGAAAAAACTTTAACTTCATATTATTTTCAGATTAATGAAACTTAATTGATCTTTACTACAAAATATTATTATTTTGAATCAAAAAATTGCGACACATTGTTACTTGTGATTACAAAACTCTGTCTAATTTTTATTTTTGCCCAGAAATTTTGAGTGATTTCAGTTTTGAATTGGGAAAATTTAGACTGGGGTCGAAAAATTATTGGATCACTGTCAAAGCATATATGAACAAATGATCCTTAGATCATTGCTAAATTAAGGATCATTTTTAAATTAAGTTTACTCATCTAATTTTAATTGTTAAAAAATATATTTTGTAGTAAAGATAAATAAAATTCTGTTTAGATGAAAATAATATGAAACCAAATTATAGCTTTATTCAAGTTGGTAAATTTTTAATCCAAATTCTAACGACTGGTGTTTTGATCAAAAGCTTGCTAACTTGAATAAAGCTATAATTCGGTCTCAAACGAAACAAAGCTAGTTTGATTTTCTATTTTTAAGCAATTTACAAGCTAATTTGTGCTACCAATCAGTTGTAATCTAATCTAAGCTGGTCTTCATCCGCTTAAATGCTTTTCTTTGTCTAACGCTTATATAAACACATCTCGAGAATGACTCACATCCACAACTAAGCACGTCTTTATATCATGCGATATCTCCAATATGTTAACCCAATTCGTTTGCGAATTTTTTTAAAGTTAAAATTCAGTGCTATAATTCAAATCAAATAATATCAATAATATAATTATTTATCAATATTTGCAACCTTTTAACTTATCTTTTTTTATTCCTTTCTTAATGCCAAAACTACTTTTTCTTTCTATTCTTTGGCAAAAAATGTCAGAGCAACGTGCATCTTTCTGAATTGATCACTTCACTGATTCTAACAAACCAATTCATTTTCCAAACTGATTTTACTTACATTTGAACATTCAAAAAATTTTTATTCAATTGTGAATTGTGGGTTGTGTTTGCAAAAGCAATTAAAGAAATTGATACTTCCATAAAAATTCATTTAAAAATTTTTTGCAAAGTAATCAAAATTTTATGTGATACTTCTCCTCACGCATTTTAATTCCGATAATAATTACTATATATTAATTCCCTATTTGATGACAGATCCCAAAATTGCCTTGTATAGATAGTAAAATCAATTAGAAAGAAAGATAATCAATATCATACGGGGGTTATTCAATCAATCAGTATCAGATGGAGGTTATTCTTCTTTTTTCAGTATTTAAAGATTAAAATAAATTTGTGAGATATTTAAGGACAAAGTAAAATATACGTACAATAATTACTGAAAGAAAAACACAAAATTATATCTGCTAAAATTGGTAACAGCAATATATAATAATTATTAAAATTTATTAGTAGTGATTGAACTATTAATTTAGAATTTAATAACTAACAAAAAGCTGGTAAAAGTAATTAATAAAAACTGAAATCAAATATTTATTAGCTGACGAACAGTTGATTTATTCATTTGAAAATTAATACTATAATTAAAAGCCATGAAATTCAAGCATAAAATATAAATAATGCAATGACTGATTTAGCTTACAATCCAACTCTAACTTTAGTGCATAGTGTAATTAATAGTAATAGAATTAATTCATAATATCACTGCTAGTTCATCAAAAAATTAGTACCAAAATTATATATTTTCTGTGCACTATTTTATTAATTGTTTTTAATCACTAAAATGATAACAACTTTAAGTAATCGATTATAGAACTGAATACTAATTTGAAATATGATAACATTAAGAAGAAAATGCAATTCAAAAAAATAAAAAACTGCGTGGAACAAAACGTTACTAACATAAAGCTTGTTATTAATATTTAAAATTGAACAAATTCTATATTAATAATTAGTGATATTCTTTTATGACAAAATATATGAACTTGCTATATGGACAAGTACTGAATAATTAATAGGAATCAGAAATGTATACATATCAAATAACTGACAATATGCTAATATTATTCATTTCTTTGTGCTTATAACTGAAAATGATGGAAGGAATGCGTGCTTGCTGATATGGAACTGATAATTAGATAACACTAAAGAACAAAAACTTCTTGCTATATTCATCCTTTTTGTTATTTACTAGTTTATTTCTTAGTGATACTTTTGACTATTGAAATTTAATATACAATTTTTCTGATTTTTTCTAAAAATTAAAATTACTTTAAAAAAAGCATCAAAAATATTTGACCTTATTTTGCTAAATAAAGTGAATTAATAATTTGCATCAAGTTGTAGAATCAATTTTTTTTGAACTTATTAAAATTTCATATTGATATTCAAAAGTTGTCTTCTATAATTAAGAAATAATAAAATCGTTGCAAAATATGAAAAAATAGGCAGTGATTTTCATAATTAGAAAATTGTAGAATATATCACATTTTATACGCTAACAGATAAGGCATGTTACGTAGTTTAATATTTTTAAATGAATATTCGACAAATTTTTACAGTTTTGAAGTTTTCAAAATGGATTAAAAATAATTCAATTCATATCATTTCTACATTTAAATAATAGCAATTTTTGAACTAAATATGTATTCTAAACTTACTGTAAGCTGGTTACAGATAAGAACATTTCATAGCAGTTTATTCTTCATAAGTGAATCATAACAAAATATTAAATAATACATATTAAATATATTTATATCTAAAAACGAGTAGTGTGATTCATTCTGTAAGCAGTTTAGGCTGAAAGTATCTAAAGTATTTTATAATTTTTAACCTTTCAAAGACGCAATTATTCGATGAATAATTTGCAAAATATTTTGCCATCTGCTTGAAAAATAATTCAGATGTCAACTAAAGCAAAAGAAATAATTAATGAAAATTTAATTTTTTTTTAAAAATTAAAAAGTATTTGATTATAATATTTAAATGTGAAAAAACTGACTTAAAATAATTCAATTCATATTATTTCTACAATAAAATAATAGCGAGTTTCAAACTTAAATCAGTAATTTACAAAATAACAATATTTATACTCTGAAAACGAGTCTAAAGGAATAAAAATCCTGAAAAATTATAAAATATTAAAAAGTTCGTCTGAAAAGTTTGCAAAATTTGTATTTTCTATATACGATGTCTAAAGGAATAAATAAATGAATGCATTAGCAGCAAAAGTTTGCAAAAAGCATAGCAGTAAAAAAGAGGTTGTCTATGCAGAATTATGCTAATTTAATGATATATTCAAATATCATCAGTTATCGATTTTTTAAAAATCATTTCATATAGCAAAAAATTATGATTTTAAAGTGAAGTTAATTGTAAATAAATCTATCCTAAAACCATTAAAAAATTATTTTATTAAAGGATTTATTTGTTTTGCTCGCAATAAAATTATTCACAACAATTAGAGAAGTCAAAAAAAACATATTTAAAAAAAGATACAAAAATATCACAAAAGAAAGTTTATACGTCAAATAAAATAAATCAAAAAAATGAGAAAGATTTAATTAATTAGTTTCTCATTCATTCTGAAGCGACAATTTTCATTCTAATGATTATTTTGTTGGATAGTGAAAGGAAAAAGTTACATTTTCAAATAAACTTGCAGTGTAGAACTAAATATTAAATAGATATATTTTTTTAAAATAATCTCTTGAAGAATATTTTTTTATTACATGAGTAAAAATT